GATTTTTGTATCCTTGCACCCGCGCAATCATGTGTTGTCCATGTCGAGCAACCGGTTGTCCATGTCGATTGGGATCAGACAAGTTGCAGATTCAAACTCGCCACATGCGTGGTTGCAGACTACGCCACATGCTCCAACGCTCCCGGCAGATCAACTCGATCCGAACTCGTGGCGACCATGGCCTTCAGCTCCGGCCTTAAGCTTTTCAAGCTGGAATCATCCGCTGGCAGTTCCCTGGATTGGTGGAACCCAAGCACGACTTGTGAATCGTGGCCCAAACATGGCTCATCAAGCCTCAGTAGCTCAAACCAATATATCTCACATGATATCATATGATGATCATATGATGTTATGATGATAATCATATTGTGAAAATTGCCAACGTTGTCATTGGTCAGTGTGGGCGAGTGGGAGATCGTGTAGTTACCATAGATCCACAGCACAGTTCCGGGACTTGTTTCGCACATGGTGTGCCGTGACGTTCTGTGTTGGCCAATGGAAATGACTTGTTTGTGCAAACCAGGACATGCAGGTGTATGTCCTGCTGCTCCGTTCAAAGGGGCTGCCGCTGTCTGCATGTCCAGTCAAGCATCCGTCGCAGAGTCAAGTCTCGAGTGTCCAAGGCACAATCTCGTGCTAGGCCAAGGTGAACTGAGAAGGAAGAGAATGATGTGGGCGACAAGTCCTCACAGCAACGCTTGGATGCAGCGGCAGTTCCAAGCAATCACAGGCCACGAGCGAGATACATTAGCAGCATTCATCTTGGTGCTTGCTGCAAAAATGACGACACCCTCTCGACCAACGGCGCCGCGTGGCGCCGGCAGCGTGGCGCCAGCGGCAGAAGATGTTCGAAATCATCGGCTTTTTTGTTGCGACTCACTTCAAAGAGCCATGTCAAAAGAATAACATTCTAAGAGAAGAGCAGTTTCAAAGACATCTTAGACACCCTGCAGAATAGTGTTCACGTCGACAGCCTGCAAAGTCCTATGTTGCAGTGCACCTGCATGCACGGAGAGGATCACAAGGCCGGCGAGTATGCTGAGTACACACAAGAGATGGAGATACGTGCAACACAAACCATATGTGTGTTTCTTTGGTCATTATGATTCTGATATTAACTCTGTTGATCTCTTTTGTATTTGTTGAAACGGTGTGGCCACAGTCTTAGCTTACCTTGCAGCAAGCAGTAAGGGTTCGGGTGAGTTTCTCTTTTCTTCTGTGTGGGCTTGCACCAAAAACATGCTCCTGGTATGCTTGCTGAATGGAGAAGTGGCTGCGATCAGAGGGCGGGGTATCGCCCAAGTGCGTCGGGTTTTGGATCGCGAGCACAACATGTGATGGGTTTGACACAACGGTTAGGTGCCAACAGGTTCTACCATTACATATAGGACTCAACCTGGCCATGGGCCAATCATTCCATTGTCCCACCCCACCCATCCCCCACACGACTCCCGGCTTATCAGATTTGTCATCGGTGGCAACCCGTAGGTGACAGAGAAATGGCCATCCAGCTGTGTGTATCGGTTGCGCGCAGATGTAAGATGTATTGTTATAGCCATCGATGCGTAAGTGATCCTTGATGCCCAAGTGATCCAATTGTCGATGCTCGGACTTGGAGTAGTAGGTTGACCATATTTGGCAATCTATTCTGTTCATTTTCAGCGGCCAACGAGGGCCCTCCGATTGAAAGACCCACAGTTACATGACATCACTTTTCGTAGCAGGTCCTGCATTGAGAGTGCGGAGGTGATGCGACTTTGGGGCAATGTGTTGAAAACGGTGATGGTGAGGGTGTCAGTGTAGGGCTTCAGTTACTGTTGGGAGGTCTCGCAAGCTTGGTATTTTTGTTGCAGGCGCAGGAACCTTGTCAGGCGTAGACATCGAAGTGGAGATTTCGTGGCAGAAGGGCAGCGGTTTGTCGACCTCGATGCGTAGATTTCGTGGCGGCGGCAGCGCTGTGTGGTCATCAAAGTGCAGTGGCTGGGTGGGTGGGTGGGTGGGGTGGGGTGGTGCGCGTGTGTTTCCACGGTCTGTGTTCTTGGGTTTACTTAAAGAATCACTCTCCATTCTGATTGCCAGACATGAGGCGACTGGTTGTCATGCAATTGATGGTGATGTTTGAAGCAGGCTTATGTTTTTCTCATGGTTTCCTCGCAAGGATGTTCAAATTGCAGCATACTCTCACTTTTGGATTCCACTCTCGACCACAGTTCCGTGTTTGGTGTTGAAAGCAACAGGAGCCAGCAAAAGAAAATACCAACATATGTATTATATTATACGCATGAGCGCACATACGCATAGCATGTGGCAATGCGCATAGAAGAGAACGCGCGACGCAAACTAGGACTAGGGTATGCTAAGCCATTGTGCTAAACACGTGGTGTTTCCCTCAGGACTTGGGCACACTTGAAAGCAACATGACAGGCAACATGCAGTGTGTTCAGCAGGAATGCAGCACAACATTTCCTCAAGCAACAATCATAGCACGAACAGGTTCCATTTGACTCGATCCTGTCCGACAGGCCATTGGGTTGCTTGCTGAAGTGGGCTGCATCCACAAGTCTTGGCTGGAGCTTGGAGGACGGTTCCGATCCTTGACAAGCCATGGTGACAAAGATATTTTGCTGTGTATGTTGGCCCTAGCTGCAGCAAAAATGTGATGTCAGTCAACACACGCGCTCTGCTGAAATGCAATGCTCGGGATGTTCGTCATCATGGTGCAAATGCCACATTTGCAAGCTCCTCCTAGACAAATGGACATTGTCAGCTGGCGTCAAGTGCTGTTCCAGCATTTGGAGAAGGCCGGGCAAGTGAATGACTGTTTGGACCACAGTTTCATGCTAGGTGTTGAAAACAAAGGACACATATTACAGATACAGTAGAAACATGGAATACAACTGTAACAAGATAATGTATATAATCTATATAATCATACGCATGACATATGCATGGTTCAATGCGCAACAGGACACGTGAACTAGATTTGATGATGAGGTATGCTAAACGATTCTGTTGGAAAGACTATGTTTTGCACGCTTGAATGCAACATGACACACAATATGCCATATGCAGTGCAGTGTGTTCAGCAGGAATGCAGCACAACATTGCCTCAAGCAACAATCACAAGGCAAACCAGCTTTCATTTGACTTGATCCTGTCCTACAGGCCATTGGGTTGCTTACTGAAGTGGCCTGCATCCACAAGTCTTGGCTGGAGCTTGGAGGATGGTTCCGATGCTTGACAAGCCATGGTGACAAAAATATTTTGCTGTGTATGTTGGCCCTAGCTGCAGCAAAAATGTGATGTCAGTCAACACACGCGCTCTGCTGAAATGCAATGCTCGGGATGTTCGTCATCATGGTGCAATTGGTGCGAAAAGACAGAATCGCACTATGCCTTTTTCCAAGCATTCCAAGTATAACTTCTATAGAATCCAAGCTAGATTGATCTTGATGAGGTGTGTTGGGAAACCATCGTTTCCCAGGGAATCGGTGGCAGATCTATTCTCAAACGCTGTCGCATTATCTTGCAGAATGCGTATTGATTCGGGCCTTCGCGAAAGGATCAGGCACGCTAAACCCATCGGGAACGGTACTTGGGGTGGGTCCTGGGCCGTGGCCTGTGCGACCGATGACTTTGTTTGCAGCTGGAGGATGGAGCTGGAGTGGCAAGCTTGCATCGCAGTGGTTGGATGGGATTGATATGTTGGACCTCCCCCCCTCCGACCATGAGATCCCATCCGATTTCGGGCTACAGCTTGGCTCCACTTGGTATTTATGGGGACCGTCTGGGGCCACCTGGGTGACTGGTGTGAGGACTCCCAGATCCAGTGCACCGGAGCCAGAGGGTTGTGTTCTCAGAAAGATGCTTCGTATCCAAAGCCTGGCTGTTTTGGAGGCCGCTGGCCGCGTGGTGTTCTCCTCGGTCGACGCTGTTCTCGGAGAGCAGCCTGTCCACTTCACTTGATTGGAGATGCGGGACTTCTCAACAGCCACTCGTGGCATTGACATCGTTGCTTTGAAGTCAGCACAGTTTCTTTCGCCGCTGACGAACTTTCACAGTGGAGCCCCTTGATGGGGCCGTGAAAGTGGGAAGTCCGAAAAGGGAATTGGACACCGATATCCGATATCAAGTTCACTTCACTGGAATACATCTTGGGTCGATTCTGAAATGTCATTTCTGGATTCGCAGGCGCCAGAGTAAGACAAAGGTGTGATGACTGGGCTCGCACGCGTCAAAGAAGAGATGCTTTAGCAGCTAAAGTTCGTTTGAGGACCTCACAGCACCATCATTCGGCCCGATGCTTGAACACCCCAGATACTTCTCCTCAAGTTCATTGTGTGGAGGATATAGTTCTTGTGACGAGCAGAATGACAGGTCCGCCTGGGCCAACGGCCCC